CTGGGTTCAAGATGCCTCACGTGACCTTATAACCTTCCGGGAAAGCTAACTCAGGCCCGGCTTTGTAGAGACCTGTGAGTCAACTGACTGTGAGTAGGGCCTAGGTTTTTCTGGATCGGCTCCCCGCCGTAACTGTTAAAGCCACAGACTCAAAATGTCTTGCTTTTTTGGAGCGTGATTGACCGAGCCCTCGCAGAACGGGGAGATACTTGAGAAGGCAGGAGAAAATGATACCCAGTCATTCGCAGATTCTTTTAGGGAACATCCTGCCGAAGTCAGTGTGCCCCACTGGTTCACGGTTTCTACGCCAATGCACTGGGATTGGAGGAGTGAAGTCAGAGGCGCAGCCTCCAGGCTGGCCTAGATCCCTGGGATCGTGTCGTGAGGCGGGTCTCCTTCAAGCCGGTGCAGCCTCTGTTAAGTGGGAAGGTGCTGAGTGGGCTCAAATATCCATGCTTGGATCCCTCACAGGGGTCACTGGAGCGGTGTTGTAAGCTTCAGAGAGTGCAAGTGCAGTGTTTTGGAGGTACCTGTGTGCAGTACGTTCTGCCCCCGCAGGTGTTGAGCCTTCAGATGGCGAACGTGAACAGATACTTTCTCAGGAACGCTTGGACCGAGTCCATTTGGGGCTGAAATTGAAAAAAATGGAAGTGCTGGTGCACCCCAGTTTCACTTACTGTATCAAAGTCAGGTTATTGCAGACTTCGGTTTTTTTGCACTAAAAAAAATCAGGTCTTCAAGGTGTCAAATTTAGTTCTTTTTATACCTCAAGAGACAGGTGACACAACATACAAACACTCAGCGAAGGTAAGATGAATTTTCTTAATTGCCTGAAAGGGTTTCAGGGAGGCCCTTTCAGGCCCCTGAAAAACTGACAGGCTCCTTGGGACTTTTTTCTATAGTGTTTCCTACTAAGAAAAATTAGCCCAGTCTTAAAGCTAGTCAATGGATTTGGGCATAGTCTAATTGCTGTTTCCTATTTCAGTTATACTATACGTTAGTGAAGATTCCATTTCAATAACTTCAGCTTATTTGAAAACTTTTGTGGTCTCTAATCCCAAATATTTTCTTGGCTTTAAGAAGGCACAGTGAGGATAAAGGGAACATGATATTTATTCATGGTTGTAAGGCACAAATACTATTTGAATTTGCTTTACACTAGCACACACTTGGGTATATTCCCACCCAAGGTGTGTAATATCAGGCTTCTAACGCTACATAAGAAGCAAGGAGATATGAGTGATCACAGTAAGAGCAATAAGTAACAAACATCATGCTGGCACAGATAAATTGTCTATAATTACTACCTCAGTAACTTATCTCCCATTATTCCTCAGAGCTAATTCACTAGATTTTTCTCTCTACCAGTCCACAAGATGTCTTTCTTCTCCCTGACATGCTTTCTTTACTTCACCTCTAGGACACCTATTCTATAGATTTTCTCCTCCTTACTCATTCTTAATCTTCCCCGCCCCCTTGATTCTAATATGCACCTGTCCAGGTGTTCTGCTGATGGACTGCTGATTGTTTGGAAGAGTAATAAAATTAAGACACATAATTCATGAGCTGTTTTTTATTCCATATTTATTTTTCTTGTCCCCTACTTAAGTAAAATTACTAACTATGTTGTTGTAATTAAGATTTTAATATTATTTAGGTTCTATTAACAGTTTCAATCAGGGGTCAGCAAACTATACTCATGGACCAAATCTGGTCTATGAACTGTTTTTGTAAATGAAGTTTGTTTGTAACACAGCCATGACCTGTATTGTTTGTGGCTATTATTGAGCTACAATGGTGGAATTAAGTAGTTGTGTTAGAGACTGGCCCACAAAGTTTAAAATATTCACTGTCTAACTCTTGACAGGAAAATCCAACCCTTGACCTAAATATAAAATATAAAATATATACTAAAAATATAAAAATTTTTCTCAATGAAAGTAAGTTACTGTACAAAATTTAAAGTTTAAAATTATTTTGTACCCTGGCTGGTGTGGCTCAGTGAATTCAGCCTGCGAACCAAAAGGATGCCAGTTCCATTGCTAATCAGGGCACACGCCAGAGCAACCAATCTAGCTTCCTCTTGCACATAGATGTTTCTCTCCCTCTCTTTCTTCCTTCCTTCCCCTCTCTCTGAAAATAAATAAATAAAATCTTTAAAAATTGATACTTTTACCTTAAAACATAAAAAAATTAAAAGCAATTGGAATGCTACAATTGTATTATAGTTAAATTAAAAATAAATGTGTGTGTTTAAGATATCAAGAACCCTTTACCAATGAATTAAAGTATATATACACATACATCTATATAACTACACAACTTCATCAATGTTGTCATGAAACTTCAATTCATAAAAAAAGTATGAAATGCAAAGAGTTTCTTTCTGAATATTTTTGCTTGAATGTATTTGTGGAGTATTAGCCAGAAAGATGACTTGAAGTATGAATGACTGTGTATGATACTGAGTATTCTATAAATTAAATTATTTTAAAATAAACTTTATATAACCTGAGTATTATTTGTTTTAATTGCTATTAGATAAGTTCACTATGAGATTATTTCTTTTAGAAATATTGATCTGATCTAAAGTCTTGTTTTGGCAGTATTATATGTCTATAATTAAAACAACTAAAAAAAAAATCTTAGGATCAAACAGAACTCTGACTTTGGGTTCATTAGGAAAAACCACAGACAAGGAATGGGTAAGAAGCTTGGCCCTGAAGCCAGACTACATGCCTCAAAGGTGGTAGAGCACTAGACAGCAGAAGCCTGGTCCCTTGAATGATTGCGTTCAACACCACCACCAGTCCATGTTAGACTATGAAATGAATAAATAGTAAATCTTTATTGTGTTGAGCCCTTTAAAATTTGGGCTACTTGGAACAGTAGTTTGCCTCAATATCACACAATTATTACAAATCTTATAGAACTGCTGTCAGGATTAAAGAAAATAATCTTGCCTAAGAACAGAAGCTCAGGTTGTAAAGAGCTGGGTGTCAAATCAATGTGTCCTCTTTTCTTTCATAAATGTTTCATTAATGAATCATATTGCTTCTTTAAAATATTTATTCCAAACTAGAGTGTTGTATGACAAATATTTGTCAAGTTTCAAAAGGTGATTAAATTCATTATATAATGAAATTAGGAAATTGAATACTTTGCTTCAATTAAAACTAATTGTTTGTATTTTTGTCTATTGTGATGAAAACTGTTTGTATACAAGGTAAAATTGAGATTTGGAGGGCATACATATTTGATTCTATATAAGAATCTGGATTACTAAAATAATATGAAATAGCTAAGGGTTTAAGTCAATGTAACATAAAATGTGGGGTTTCAATTGAAATGTGTTGCAACTGAACTATAACTTCAAAACTCATACACTTATTGAGCTTGGGCCTGGGAACCAAAGGATCACAGTTTGATTCCTAGTCAGGGCACATGCCTGGGTTGCAGGCCAGTTCCCAGCAGGGGACACACGAGGAGCAACCATACATTGATATTTCTCTCCCTCTCTCTTCCCCTTCCCCTCTAAAGATAAATAAAAATAAATATAATACACACCTCTAAGAGTAAATAAAATCTAAGACTATAGTCTTCAAGAAAAAAAAAGTAAAAAAAAAACAACCCAAAAAACCAGTGCTTGATATAAGAGAACCACAGAATTAGTCAGGACATATTCTCAGAAATGAACACTAGATGGCAGCTTCTAGACAAGATTAGGTCAATGACACTTTTCTTTTTCCCTCCAGACAAAACCCAAACCAATTCTTTTTGTAAAGTGGAATCTTTCTGACCCCCATTTCTGCCTCCCTAGGGACCCTCTCACCTGCTTTCATTAGGACAGCAGTTACTCATCTGGAAAATGAAGCATCTGTAGAGGCTTTTGGAGAGAAATAAAAAACAGAAACAACTAATATAATCTCCCTGCATCATATTTTACTTCCCTTTTAAGAGAGTAAACACAAAGAGATTTCATCTTCGTGGTGATGGAGACACTGAAGGGAATTTTCCTGAATCAGTTCTAAACACCTCATTATGTTGTCCATAATATCAAGTTTTGTTTAAGCTTTTTTTCTTTTTAAAAGAATCTCTATTCTATGCCTATTTTTCTTTCATTCATGCCTTCAACAAGTATTTATCAAATGTGCTATATGTAACATTTGAGGGTAGGAGATTAGGAAATACATTCAGGTAAGGTCAACCCTCTAAATTTTCAGAGCCCTTCAGTGTCATAGAGGAAATAAGGCAGTGACATAAATGTCAGAGTAAGGTACAACTTCTGACATACGTATTTTTGTTAGTAGAGCACAAATGAAGTATCAAATGGCATTTTATCTTCCTATAAAAGAAGTAAGCAGGAAAAAGGAGGCAAACATGTTTGACAGTTTACTGTGTGATAAGTAGCTTGATGAATGCTTTACAAAGCCTGCACCATATTCATCAGTTAATAGTTTTAAGGCATTTTTTGAGATCAGGAATCCGTATTTTAGAAAGAAAAAGCATCATGCAGAATATTATGTATTAGGATACTGCTTGTGTAAAAAAAGAAAGGAGGAAAACATATATTTATACAGTATTTCCTTGATTATGCATTAATTCCCAACTAGTTGTCTTTGGGATGGAGTGCACTGGGAACTAAGTGAAAAGGTTGCAAGGATATAAAACAGGTTTTTTACCATATGTTTTTTACATCTTAATTTTTTAAATCATATAACTCTAAAACCTTTGACCAAACTTAAGTTAAAAATAAACTGGATTTTTAGTAACAGAACAATAAAATATTTAATTAAAAAAAAACAAGTGACAACTTTAATAGACTGGATTCTTAAAAATCACTAAAACTCTTAGCAGAAGTTTTTAGAGTAATTTCTTAGAATTAAGTTTACTTACCTATGAAGAAAAAGCAGGAGGTCCATGTATAATTATTCCTGATAAAGTGCTTTATTCCATAGTTCAGAGTGAAAGAACATTCTTTTTACCACAGACCTGCAAATAGCATTTACGCAAGGCTACCACCATGTGCATTGGTCAGATAAATCATGTATTTGATCTTTAAACCTCACATAGAGGAGCCATTCATTCATTCAATACACATTTCACAGTGTGCTAGACTAGTTCATAAAAATGTTTTCCAACAAGCTATACTTAGGTAAAAGCTAAATAGGCAGCTTTGTGTTTATTTTCAAGAATTTTCTTATTTATGACATTTGAAATGATGAAACAGCCTCATCTGTATTTGCTAGCACAGGAATTTCATGGTTGAATGTCTGGAGCAGAGACAACTTCACTTTGAAATGGTCTTAATTCTAGTAAGGATATTCTTGTTCTTCTAAAAGTCAGGTATGACTTGTTTCGTTGGTAGTGACAAGGTAGTACTTGAAGAAAAATATGTTCTCTTTTTTGTATTATTTTATTTATTTTTAGAGGGAGGGGAAGGGAGGGAAAAAGAGGAAGAGAAACAGGAACACATCAGTTGCTTCTTTCAGTGTCCCAACTGGAACTTGGGAGTTGGGGGGGTGTCAGACCCAGGCATGAGGTGCCCTGACAAGGAATTGAACTGGTGACCTTTCTGCCGGCACTCAATCCACTGAGCCACATCAGCCAGGGCAGAAAACATGTTCAAATAAAACAGCAAACCTAATAAGCAGAGGAAAGTATTTTTTGAGATTTTGGAAGCAAGCGTTTCAACAAGAGTTGCCAGGAAAAACGGTGCCAGATATCATGAGAGAAACGTCTAGTAACAGTGGGTTAGTCCTACTGCCATGGGGTGGGGATGGAAAGCAGGAATAAGGAAGAAGGTATTTTTTGAACTTAGTAGCTAAAAACCTTAAAAAAAACCCAAAAACGGGGGCACTTTGTAATTCATATGCCCATATGAACCATAGGGCAGGTTTGAGTTAAGCCTGGTCAGGGGGCAGGGGAAGTAGAGGCTATCCAGCAGAAATCCAGAAATCAGTGGTGCTTAAACCCTGAAACACCTTAGCGGAGGAGGAAGCTCTTGTGGCTTGCCTAAGTTTGGGAATGTGCTCAAGGGACGCCTGGAGCACACCTTCACTCCCAACAAATTCCAAGTGGGGAGGAGAGTCCAAGGGTAAGAGAGAAGGTGACGGCGACAAAGCTGCTTCACGCACCACAGGCATGCGCGGATCCCTGTTCCACCTCAGGATCTCTCCAGAGCAGCAGACGCACGAGTCTCTAGGACCGCCACCCTGCCTGTGACACCCACTTCCTCCCACCTTCTGGATACCAACCGCAGCAGTCTCAACATACGCGAGCGAAAACTGCCTGTCTCGACTCCCCTGACCGCCAGTTCCGGGATTACCTTGTCCTTCAGCGCCCACGAGGGGCAGACAGCTGCGCGCGCACCTCTGCACCCCCGAGGAAGAAAAGAAGTGGGGTCTGGGAGACTTACTGCAGGAGCCAGCCGTGGGCTCTGCGTGTGCCTGGGGACCGGGACCTAGGTGGGTGGGGAAGTAGAACGATAGTAAAGGTACTGCTTATAAAGATATTACCACAATGAAGAGTAAAGTAGCGAGCGACCGAAAGTCACGAGGCGCTTGGGCAGGTGGGCAGTAAATAGTAGCATCAGTGAGTCACGTGAGCCTCTGACGAGCTTCAGGCTCGGGGTGAGGCCCGTTATGATTAGCGGCCCCTGGACTGGACGCCTTTCCTCGAATCTCCTTGCGCCCCGGAAATGGGAACGTCTCCCTTCTTCCCAGAAGGGAGAGCTGTTTGTACAGGAGGGAGAAACAAGTGTTCCAGACACCCGTGCGGATGCTAGACCGAGTGCACTCAAATCTGAGCGTGTGCACCCCTTTCCCACAATGCAAGAGGTTCCTTTGAAGCCCTATGGGGACGCTGTCGCGTGGTGACGTCACCACGGTTTCCGGGGGCAGGGGGGTTGGGCTCGGCTGCCCACCCGGTAACAAAGCCGTTCCTTTTCAGGCCGCAGTAACCGTCCCTCGTGTGCGTTTTCTCAGTTGTGTGGCCCGAGGCCTCCGCAGTGATTTCAGAACGGAGAAGCTTACAGGAGGTACTTTGTCCAAGTACAGGGAGCTAGAAAACCAAGATAGTTTAAAAATAAGTTAGAAGAATAGTCCAAAATCTTTTTTCAAAGCAGACTCCAGACCACCCTGGCTCCTTGGCAAGTCCAACTAAACATAAGAAAAACAAAATTTACAATTTAATCAAATACTCCCAGATATATGGGGAACAGGAGACAAAAAGAGGAAACACTTCAACCTTTTATGAGGTTTAGTATAACCCTGATAGGAAAACCTAACAGGAACAGTATGTTATTAGCTCTGTCCAGGTGGCTCAGTTGGTTGGAGCATGGTCCCCATACGACAAGGTTGGGGTTCCCTCTCCCGTGGGGTCATGCAAGAAGCGACCAATGAATGCCTAAGTAAGGGTAACAACAAATCATATTTCTTGCTCTCCCTTCTCTCTCTAAAAATCTATTGAAATTTTTTTAAGTTTAAAAACGTCAATTTGAAGGCAAATTGTATGTATGCCTGTTTTGTTCATCAATGTAGAGGCAGAAACTCAAGCAAAAATTAACCAAATTTAGTATTATATAAAAAGAATACTACATTATGAGCAAGTTAGGAAATTAAATGGAAATTAAAGGTAGCGACTAATGGAGAAAATACCTCAAATGTAAAGAAATGATTAAATTAAAAACTTATTTATTGTAGGTGCTCAAAGAAAACCAGTACTGTAGCCAAGCCCCTTGTGATTTTAATGCCCCTAGTATTTTTGGCACCTAGAATTAAATAAATTAACATTCAGACTTTAGTTGATATGTTAGCAGCTTTTTCTGCTCAATTTCTTTTATTCTCACAAATGTAGTCACAACTTGTTGATTTACTGTTTCTTTGTTAAGCAGGAGATAACTTCAGGGTCGCCGGGAGAATCTATGAACTTGTTTTGGAGAAGGAAAGAATGTCTTCAGGGTAGCTGAGACCAGCTGCTGATGCTCAGGAGTCTGATGTGAAAAAGTTTTATCTGTGACTGAAGAAGTAGACTTCTCTCAGTTCTCTGGAACTCCCCCTTTCTCTTCCTGCCCTTGAAAGCTCTTCTGCTTGGTCTGGAACTTCGGAGATGGTCTTTGGACATTGTCCCATCATCTTTCTGAACAAAACAAACTTTCCACCTACCACTTGTCTCTGGAGTATTGGCTTTCAAGCAGTGAGCAGCTGAACTTGGGTTTTTTTTACTAACAGGAGAAGGGACATTAACCTGACAAAGTGTATCTGCAAAAAAACAAAACAAGCAAACAAAACCCCAACCATGTAACACCCCACTTAATAAATAGTAAAACATTGAAAGCTTTCTCTTACAATGTTCTGTTGACAAACCTGGGGCCTTTGACTATGCAGTTTTCCCAGGTCTGGATATTGCTGATGCCACATACAAGGATCATTTCAGCATGTTTCTCTGCCATTTCCCGCTAATTGATACTTGGATTATTTTATTTCTTTAGACATAATAATCAGTTTTTTTGTATCTGTCATAATAATTCTGATGTCTAAATTATTTTCAATTTCTTTGCTGCTGCCTGATATTTCTGAGTATGGTCCTCAGTGTCTAGTTTCCTTGTATGTTCACTCCTTGTTCTTGAAAAACTGTGTGAGAAAAAGTATTTGTAGCTTTCTCCACAGATGATTCATTTGCTCCTGCTAGGTGCCTCAGTCTGGGACCAATTTTCATGGCTTGAGGTTCCTTGGGTCATTGCTAACCCAGGCTACAAATTAGAGCAAGAGCTGCCCACTGACTACATCTATGCAAAGATGGCTTTTTCTCTTTTTTCTCCTACTAAAGTCAATGTAAAAGTAACCTTTTCTAAAGTTCTGGGGTACTGGTTCACCCTTACCCTTAAGAGAGTCCCAACTTAATATAGGAAGAGCGTTTTCACCTTGGGTAGCCCTGGACCTTGGCTGTTCTTTCCATGCTCAGTGAAACTACAGAAAACAAAGCCAGGTGTTCCCTGACTGGAAAATATCCTCAGGGCAAGAGTAACTTGTGTTCCTGTGCCCCATTTGGTTTTTTGGGTTCCCACCTCCTCTTAGCTTTTGGCCTAATAGTTTCTTACTATCTTGTCAGCAATTTGATGCTTTGGAAAGTTTTTTTTTTTTTTAAATTAGTTTATTCAGCATCTTTAGTTGTTATCAGGGCATATTGGTCTGAATAACCTAGTCCTTCATAACTGAAAATAGAGATTTGAGAATTCATTCATTTTCTTGACACTCTTTTATATCTCAGGACACCTTGCTGAATGTTTCCTTCATGCATTAACTTTTTTTTTCTTACCTGTGTGTATTGTACACCATTATCCCATTTTCTTCTAGCATTGAATTTTGATATAGTGATTGCTGAAACCAGCCTGATTTCTCCTATCCTTTATAGTTGACATGCTTTTTAATTTTTTTGTATGAATAAACCACTTTTTTTAGGGTCAGACTTGGAGAAAATTTACTGTCATGAGTCCCTTAATGAGTCTCCCTCCTACAAGATTTGGCAAAGAACAGCCTCCACCTATCACAGAGAATGCAGGAGATCATCTTCATTTGTCCTTGTTTTATATATTTAGCATTCACATATACAAACATATGACCAGAGATGAAAATATGAATAATCAAGGGCATTGTTTATTGAGTGCCTACTATGTGCCAGTAACTGTACTATGTGCTTGATTTATAGCTTTAAGTATAATATATAAGTTCTCAGGGAGCTTATTGTCAATCCAAAGAGCTGTAAATATTTCAGAATAACTAAACAACTATTATTTAATTAGAGTTGTGATAAGGGCATGCATGTCAAAATATAGAGAATTAATAAAGCATAAGACAGAAAGACCAAACCTCATTTGGAAGATTTGTGTAAGTTTCTGTGAATGTCACAAATTAATTAGAGACCTAAAGGATAAGAAGGAATTGGTCAGGTGAAAAGTTATGGAATTAGCCTTGTTGGCAGAGAAGACATTATGAGTAAAGAGGAAAGTTGCCAAGGTGAGTCTGGAGAGACAAAGGCTGGGTCATACAGGCTTTGTGGGCAATGTTAAAGAACTATGAGTTCATCCTGTTAGAATTATTAGAAGGTTTTAAGCAAGAGAGATTTGACCATATTTTTGTTTTTATAATAAAGTATCACTCTCTGCAGATGTTGAAGGGCATGGGTACAAGTAGAAATGAAGACTTCAGTTAGGAGATTATTGAAAGAATCCAACAGAAGATGAAGGCATTTTGAGCTATAGTGGTGGAAGTTAAGGTCTAAAGAAGTGTGGCCCTGGCTGGGTATCTCAGTGTAAGGTTGCAGGTTCAATCCCAAGTCAGGGCACATACAAGAATCAACCAACGAATGCATAAATAAGTGGAACAACAAATTGATGTTTCTCTCTCCCTTCCTGTTTCTACAGTCAATAATTTTTTTTAATTTAAAAAATATTTAATGAAGTGTATATATTCACAAAACACATAGAAAAGTACTATCTTTGGTGTATGGTGATGGATTAAATGTGATGAGATGGTTCAGAGGGCTGCCAAGCTTTTCTCAAGGAGTCAAAGATTCCTCTTCTCGTAATATGAAACTTAACAGAGGCAAACCCAGAGTCTTTGGAGAAGGAAAGAGGGAAAGCCCTGTAAAAGGAGCTGAGTAATAGCTCTATAGCTTTGGGGACTTAGGAAAACCAGAGGAGTTCCAGCTGCGGACATGCTTTCCAGACTCAGTCCCTGGCAGTGCTCCTTCATGCCTTCCCTTGTTCTTCACAAACCACGGGTGTCATCCTGGTTTCTGGGGACTAGCCTTCTCTGACCTGGCCCTCACCAGGGCACTTTTCTCCATTTGAATTGAGCTTATCTACTTCCAGCTTCTGAGGCGAAATTACCATGTGTCCTCTTCCTTGATTAGACAAGATTTTAGTTTCCTAGTTAATAGCTGCCAGTTCTTGAGCATCCAGTTACTTCATGCCATGTACTTTACTCTTGATAAAAACCACACTATTTCATTTATTCATAACAACTTTGAGGGAGAAACATTATTACCTTTTCCCATCTTAAAAATGAGGAAAATGGAAACTGAGGGTCAAGAAGTTTAAGTGCCCAGCCCAAATTCACAAATCTTGTATTGGGAGATCTGGGGTTCCAACACTGGTTCACCCTACTCCAGAACTCTGCTTCATGGGGTGCTATCTCTGGTTCATTCTCTCTCTGCTTCACCTGAGATTCTTATCTCTGCCTGTGGGGCCGCGGGGAGCTCTGCCCGCAGAGCCCCCACCATCTACCACAGATGAGAATAAGTCTACCAAGACATGATCCACTTGGGGAGGAAAGGTGGCCTAATTCTCAAAGGAGAAGAGCCAGGAGCCTGTTTTTAAGTGGGCTTTTATTGGGTTCAATTTGCACAGAATACAGGTAAAGCCCATCAATCACTGTTAGGCAGTAAGAAGTGAACAATAAATAACATACAAAGAATTCTGAGGGCTTATTCTGAGTCAGGGTCAATTAGCTAAAGGGCTGTAAAACCTTGGGAAACAAACTCATTTCCTGCTCTGACCCTTATCAGAAAATTGAGGGCATTCTTAGCAAAGCAAGTTTCACAGGATTTTGTGCATTTTTTCTTAGGCCTGATCACCCTGGGAATCCTGCCCATTTTAGCACAGGACTGTACCATCTTCTGGCATTGTTTCAGGCTTAAGTCAGGCAGGGGAAGTAATGCAGTCAAGAGATTAGGAGACTTTTTGCAGACAGAATGAGGACTCGGGCTGTGTCAAAGCTGAGGGGTGAAGGTCCATCACCCCCTTTTTCCGTAGCCCCTCAAGTCCTTTCCTGAGGGCTCCTTTGTGACCATGCCTATCTTAGGTCATCTCTCCCTTGAGGAATCTTACTCATAATTGACTAACAGGTCAGACCCTCGGGGCCAAGCAGGGTGAAGTAAAGGGGGCAGAGGCAGCGCACCTGCCAGGGAGATAAGCCTTGTCTCCTTAGTGGCTTATGGAAACAAAGCCTTAGCCACAGGGGATTACAGCTTCTGAAACCAGGCAGGGCAGTTCCCAACAT